CGTTTCGTTTCGTTTCGTTTCGTTTCGTTTCGTTTCGTTTCGTTTCGTTTCGTTTCGTTTCGTTTCGTTTCGTTTCGTTTCGTTTCGTTTCGTTTCGTTTCGTTTCGTTTCGTTTCGTTTCGTTTCGTTTCGTTTCGTTTCGTTTCGTTTCGTTTCGTTTTGTTTTGTTTTGTTTTGTTTTGTTTTGTTTTGTTTTGTTTTGTTTTGTTTTGTTTTGTTTTGTTTGACCCAATCATGACTCCGAGCGTCTATCTGTCCAAAGGAAAAATAAAATTGATTTACGTTAATTTTTTCATGGAAGACGTAAGGTATTTATACCATCACTTTTACATCCAAAGTTGTAGAAGCTATATCGGCTTTGTGAAGGAACATGCTATTCTCGCAGATAACTTCCATAAGATTATTGCTTTTGAGCATCCGTTTATTGTCTTTCCAAAATAAAAAAGGGAAAAAAAACACTGTTTCTGCCCGATCACTTTTTTGTGATTGGTTTAGTGCATCAACTGTAACATTACATTCGTATTTCACTAATTTAATTTCAGATCAGTAGTAAGTTTATTAATAGGAAGGTGTTTAGAAGCAATGTAAATTTTCTGTAATTTCTATCCTAGCTTGAAGGAAGATCAACAACAATTGAAATTCACGCCATTTTTGAAAAAAAAAACCGAGATTCATTAGAGTACAACATTTTTTGTTTGTTCACTTTTGACATCAGATTGTAGCCAGAGTAATATTTTATATAATACGCCGTTTTATTCATTTATTCATTTTGTTTATTTGCCGATACGGACACCCCATCTACTTAAACTAGACAACACACTTCTTGGCACAGGTCTAGAAGACATGCTAACACGTCTATTGGGAGAGTTTTGCTTGTCTGCTGTTGAATGGATTGCTAGCCCGGTTTCGGTTCAATTACAAATCCATGGATCATATAGAAGCCGCAGAAATGGTAACCTGGGAATACCTCCGCACCACATTATTCAAATCAAACTCCATTTTGGTTTTGCATTTATAATCCCTTTTGCTGTGCAAAATGTACTTCCAATTATCGTCCTGACTTTCTTCTCTTTTTTTTTTTTGATTTCCCAGCACGCGCTTCACAACCTGGGATACGGAAGCGTATGAGGGCCACTTGCTTTTTTTCTTCTTCGAGAAAGGCGGTTAGATGGTATCTGGGGGAGAAAAGTTGCAAGTGGCCCTCATACGCTTCCGTACTGGGGTAAAAAAATCCAAGATGGGAAAGTAATATACTCGCTTTCGTTCCTCCTCAGACAAGGATAATGAACAGTGATCACGGTGTTTGGATCATGTCTTCATATGACAACTGAGTTGAGATCACCAATACTGATTTTTTTTTCCCGGTTGCCTTGTGACCGCATGCACGAGCAACGAGCCCGTGTTTGCCTACACAAAACGTTCGAAATATTTGATTAACAAAGTGACTGATGGCGCGTTCGTTTGGCTGAACATCTAAAGCGTCCCGAGGTGTGACGTCACTTTGGACCAGAAAAGCAGTGCAAACGAATGGAGCACGCGCGCGTATTGGTTCACGCGCTGGTTCTCCGTCTAATGTCTTTTTCGCAGGATTGTTCAGTGCCCATAGACTTTGCATGCATTTAATTCGTGTATTCGTGCATGCGGAGAATTATTCTAGCAGACGACCTATATCGATGGTGACCCATGTGGGGGACAGTACATGTTCTGCCATTTCCCTTGAAGACCTCATGTGTGGATAAATTGCCATAAGTCTATCAAATGGTGATATTTAATAGCTTTTGATGAAGTGGAAAATGTCAATTTCTCGGCATGGCAAAGTATAATTATGAAACACTTTCGTTTTGTTTTACCTACCTTTGTGTCTAATTTTCACAATTTTGCCGAATTTACCTTCAAATAACTTTGATGCCACATGAAAGACCAGTAACTCTATTTTGCAAAAAAGGTTATTACTTCTTGGAAGAAAACTGTTTTTTGAAATTCACCTATTTTTTCACTGGGACCCATCTTCGTCATTTCCCTTGTGTTTTTTCACCTAAATTAGTGCCCAATTTTCAAACTTTTTTTCGAATTTCCCCCAGATCATCGGTGATACTTTCTGGAAGACTGGTATTTTTTGTATCTATCAGCTAGTATTGTTC